AGTGAATTGAATTTAGGAATGAGTAGTTCTTGTTTTCCAACACTGAATTACTCATCTTGCTGTGTTAGGTTTGTCTGGAATTTATTTGTCTGCAATAATTTTGAATTTGTCATTATGCTGTTTACCACACTTTCCAAACGGTTAGATAACACTAAGCAGTTTCCTTCTAGGGAAGGCTGGATTGTTTTTCTAGATTTAGAGAAATGTACTTGTTCAGAAGGAGCTGCAGGATTGCTTGGAAGATCTGTTCCTGCTGTGTTAGGTGTCTATGATGACATTGAGTTTGACGGTAGTATAATCATAGTGTCACTTGTTTACTTTCCAAACTTTGTCTAAATTAAAATCTTATACATAACCCAGCATTAAACCATTAAGGAGCTAAGGCATTGCAATAAATGGCAGAGTTGATTTGTGTTTTTAGAAGGGGGGATTTTGCTGAACAGTTTGAACCAGGTGAGTATCTTTACTGAAGCTCCTTTGGACTCTGGATATAATGTCAGCCTTTGGACAGCTGTTAACACACAGAGCCACTGCGGAGTCCAGTGCTGCTAGCTGGCAGATTAATTTGGCTGTAGTCAGTCCTAAAAACTTTGAAAGGAGATCATGAAATCCGTTTTGCCGAGTGCCATAGGGATAGTGGAGGATAGCTGCTGCCCTGGAAGGCTTGTTCTGATGAGCAAGCGTTTTGCAAATAGAGGTGAGCAAAACAAATGCACCATCTTGACAAGAATGGTCATCTGTAAAGGCCCTAAATTAGTTTCAAAGTTCAGAAGATGATGACAATTAGAAGAAAACACAAAAGTCAAGGCAGGACAAAAAAAGCCTTGGTTAGTTATTAATGATTCAGGCTGAGTTGCAAATCTGTTCCACGTTCTGGGGAACTTGTGAGACTTGTTAAGATTTGCAAAATACTTAATGCATGAGTAGTAGTTTACGGAGTGTTTTGCTCTGAACTGTTACTATGACAACTGGTTAGTTTAGAGATTTGTCTTTCAAGTATTTTGTGCCCGTTAAGTGGAGAGTGTGTACATAGACACTACCATTTAAGATCACTGCACTAGAAGATCAGGAAATAATTATACTAACTTCCCTAAATGTAGATTTTAGGTATTCTAGAAAGGCAGTAATCATCCTTGAAAAGTTGGTGGTGTTCTATACAACATGTTTTCTGAGGAGATATAATAAATACACTTAAAATCAAGGAACACACTGAAATCTGTACAACATAAAATCTAGCAGGATGTGTAGTCAGTTTTCTTTGAAATCAAAATCTTTGTTACATGCCTATTATATACTCCTCACTACACACTTGTTGATTAAAACAGTAACTGACTGCTATTATTATAAAATCCAAAATACAGTCTTACTGATAATTACTACTTTGACATTTATTTTTTAAAATAATGGTTTTTTAAGTGCTTTGCTACCTCCATTTAGAAAAGCAAAAATTAATCCATAGCATCTATCTAAGAAGCTAAGCTTAAATTGTGAGCAGATTTTACTTTGCCCAAAACAATTACCAGGCTCAGCATAAGAGGTGGCTAGGTGAATTGTATCATCTCCAAAATAAAGATCATAAAAAATATATTTTAAAAGCATAGACACTGCAATGTGATGTTAAAGCCTTCTGTTTATACTGACCAGTAATGAAACAAAATATTTCCTCATCTAGAAAATCTTGTGTGAAGTCTCTTTTAGCACACTTTAACTTCTTGGGGTGTGGCAAGGAAAGAGAATTCTCAACTAGAAGGAGAATTTGTATGTTTCCCAGTGAAAAGTATTTTCCATTGCAGTGAGTCATACCGTAAAGAGGCTTTCTTCAAACTATTTTTTGTAGCTAGTTTGCTGTAAAAGTCACAACTTTCCAGAGACTGACTGCGTGGGACTTGCCAGGGTTTAAAAAAAGATAATCTTGCTGTGTAGCAGTGACTTTCTTTCACTTGCTTATGTATTAAGGATCTTTTTTTTTTTTAAAAAAAAAAAAAAAAGCAACCATCCAGCAGTAGTATTTTATCTGTGTGTATGATCCATTTTTAGACTCAGGCTATTGAATGCATAGTAACACTGCCAAAAGAGCCATACAAATGTGTGGCAATTCTCTCCTCCTGCCAAATTAGGAAGCTGTCAAACTGAATTTTGCTGATGGCCAAATAGAATAGAAATTAAGTCTTTTATCCTTGTGCATCCTCTTGCAGATGGAATGTACAGCATTCTCAGATGCCTGCTTCTCATCAGTCCTAACAGCTTAGCATAAATAACTTCCCTATCAAGTGGTGGGTCTCCTGCAGAGTAATTACAATTCCTGGAAAACGGTAACTGGCCAAATGGTGAGAAGGAATTAAATGTTACCACATCTTACATGTTATCCCCTTGTGCCACAGAAGGGAAAAATCATCACACCTGTCAGGGAACCTGGAATCCACACCCTCAACTTTGCCAGACTCTGTAATGAAAGTTTTTAGCAGAGAAACTGGAGCAAAGTGACTAGTAAAGTCAGCACGATTCTCGGAACTGACCAGTCTCCCACGTGTGAACATAAAGCCAGCAGACAAGCTGTTTCAATTAAGGCGGTTTAAAAGGCTAGGATAGAAGGTAAATCTTGCTCAAAAATATGAAGTTGTCCAGAAAAGGACAGCTTCATCCCCAAGTCAAAAAGTTTTCCCTATTCTGTTCTATGTGCATGGCTGACAGGCATCTCAGCTGAAAACCTCTCAGTACTTTAGTAGTCTTGGGGCTTTTTCCCTATTTCCCACGGTATGAAAGGGTAGTAGTTATTAAAGGTTATAGTAACCCTTGACTGTAATACAAGGAAACTGGAGATGTAACCGTCTTGCATGTGTTTGAGTCTTCTAGTTGAAACTGTTGCTTCTTCACCTTTTCAGATCCCGTTTTCCACAGGACGTGCAGAAGTGGCTGCTCTCTCCTTTTGTATTTTGCTTCCCTGTGAAAACTGTACAAAATAACTATCCCTAACTGTTTAGTCTCCCTGCTGCTTTCCGTGTATCAATAAACAACATTTTGTGTGCCTGCAGGAGTCTAGTTATAGCAAAACTGCTTTGTGTGTGCAACTTGAAGTTTGAATAAATATATGGGTTGAATAAATACACAATGATCTAGTTCATCTGGGGGTGGAGGGGCAGAGTTCATTTCTGCCCTGCATAGATTGTGGCTTCAGACTTGGCTGGCTTAGGCAATTATAAAATGAGACCTGTCCCCAGAGTACCTGCTCAACCAAGAGGGAACAGTGTCCCTAGGGAGGACTGTCAGTGCTGTAGGTGGTGTTTGTTCTTGCTCAGGGCTTGACAGAAGGTTCACTACTCCTCTGAAGGATCAGACAGAGTAAGATATGTTGCAGAAAAAACCAAACTACGTACGCTATAACTTTGGCTGGTCTGTTTGCCTCTGATAGATTCCACTTAAATTTTAAATATTACTTCCAGTGAGAATGTTTTCGGAAGCCCAGACATCGGTACGTTAGAGCTACCCAAGTCAAAAGCTAGTTACTTTGCTTTTGAAGACCACCCTTCCCCCAGATACACACTACATTTAAATTCTGTTCTGCAGAGGCCTGGTGCTTTATTTTACTGATTGAACTCACGTAAGAAGGCAGCACTTGGCCCTCAGCTTTATTTGAGCGGCATTTGGGTCCATTGAAACTGGGATTGTTTCCAGAGCATTCAGGAATGGCTTTCATAGCAGCACAGTGCTTTAGTTTGGATAATGTATGCTGGTCTTTTTTCACTCCTGAGGACCTGAATATGGTCTTCTCTTTACATAATAGGAAATTTGTGGTGCCTTGTCCTAGCATCTAAAGGACACTCTGTGCCTGCTCCACACCACCGTGCGACTTGGCACAAGCTACAGCCAGGGATTTGGAGAGTAGAGGTGGGGAAAATTAATTTTTCAGGGCTCAGTTATATCCTTGGTAATGTAGGAGAAACTGGGATAAAAGCTAACATATAGCTGTAGGGTTGGGGTTTTTTTGCTGTGGCCACATGACTTTGGGCATTGTCTTAATCTTAAAACGTCATGTTTAGGCTTATGTAGTTCTGTATATGTGCCCTGTCACTTTGGTTAAATATTTTCTACTCCGCAACTACCTCCAGAATACATGAATTTTAACTTTGAGTTAAATGGGTTGAGTACAGCCCATTTTCTAGAAGACTGGTAAGAGTCAGGCAGGTGACAGATCTCCCTACCTCTGTGTTTTGAGCTGTCTCAGAGGCTGGGATCACCCATATGACATCGGAGCCGCTGTGAGACCACAACAATTTGAATTTATGCCTGGTCCAGCACATGTGTCAGCACACACTTGCAGTTCTGCTGAATGACTCAGGCAGGGAATGCAGGTGTAGGCAGGCCTCCATGCAAGTGTGGCATGGGTGGCCTGGTCATACAAGCTTGCTGGTGTAGAGTTATTCCATCAAAATGTTTTGAATGAATTTGAATTAGCACAGTGGCTTGCCGCTTTCTGTTACGTGGCTGTGCCTAGCAGCCAGAGCTGTGAAGCTACTCACAGTTTTGTTGGACCACAGCCAATATATTGCAAGGCACATAACAGAAACTCTAGCAAGAAGATCTTGATTATAACCTGTACTGATAAGTTACGTTCAGGAGCAAAGTTCATCTTGTATATACAGTGAATGAAGTTCGTAGCTAAAGATTTTATGGAATGCTGATGAGCTTTATCAGCCTCTTGAAAACTCTACTCTTAGTAACCTATCACTTAGTAACTTGGCTCATCTTCCTCACAAGGAATATTCACTTTTGTTTGAAGGTTGAATGCTCCTGTTAAACTACTTAGTAGAGAATTACTGAAGTTGTGGATTTCTGCTAAGAGATAGATATTTAAGTAGGAGAAGGGGAGTTGTGCTTTAAGTCTTCAAACATAAGTTTAAAAATTATGTTATAGATGGCTGAGGTAGAATTAACCTTCCCAATTTATAAATACCTCTGAAGTTGTTCAGTGAATTCCTTTTTTTCTCATGTGTCTTTTACAGGTATTCGTTATAGTTTGGATGTTAGTGTGGATGAAGTGAAAGCCTTAGCATCTCTAATGACATACAAATGTGCTGTGGTTGGTAAGTGATAATTTTTCAAGCAAGGATACCATCTTTAATTTCAGTCAGTATGGATGTAATTTACAGAAAAAAAATCTAAGGGATTAAGTTTTAAACCCTAATCTCTGGCTAAAATCTGTAGCAAGATGGGAAAAATATATAGGGACCAAAATAATAGTACATATTCCACTTGCTGTTACTGTAGATACTTGAATAAACTTACATTTTCATTTGAAAAGTCCAGATTCTGCTAGCTACGCCCTCCTGTAAAAGTAAGGCATCTTGAACTCAAATCAAACTTGGATTTGGAGGGGGCTAATTTTAGGGGGAACAGATGGAGGCTGTAAAGGATTCAGGCAGGGGAGCTGGAGAGAGAGAAGAATGAAATTCCTTTACGTGTTATAGAGAAGTATTCATACACAGCTGCTAAATTGCAGGGTAGTTTGGAGAGAATCTGCATATTATGTGTAAGAATGCAAAATACTTTCTTAATGTATATACAGATATTGCACTTAGGACTTCCAAAGTAAGATTTTAGAGCTAAGCCACTAAAATATAAACTGTAAAACTTACTGTTTCTACAAGTGCCAAGTACAAGAGCTGGAAGCCTAGAAAATTTAGATCATGAACTTTGAGTTTCAAAGATCTTTTTCAAGCTGTCCTTGAAAGATTTCCCATTTTTATAGCACTACCTAGATCAGGCTATAGCTTATGCTTGGGAAGCGCTAAATGTGGCAAAACCAAGTTCACTGCTAAAATCAAAGATATGGTTACACATATTACTGATGTGTTCTGCCTTTATTGTTGAAAAAGTAAAATGCTTTTCCTTTGCATTCTTGTAGATGTGCCATTTGGTGGGGCAAAGGCTGGTGTCAAGATCAATCCCAAGAACTACACCGTAAGCTTAATCATAGATAAAAATTCAGTTATCTGCATTACTGAAGCCAGCCAGTTAAAAAAGCTCTTCTAAGGGCATTATTGGCCACTTAAAACTTCCTGTCAGTTCTGCCTCTGTAAAGACTGAATTTAGATTGTGCATGCAATAGGAAGGGAAAGAATTTTTAAAAGGTCTGTGTTTCAGAGGAGGAATACTTTAATTATTCAATTTAACTTTTTTTTTTCTCCTTAAAGTCAGGAAACTACAAATAGTTTGGACCTGAAATGTCAAGTTGAAACTGTTAATAAAGGCTTAAATTAAATTACTTAGAAAAAAGTTATTTTTTTAATTAATTTTGACATATAGCTCTATGCTCCATTAAACCTATCTATGCAGTGTTCCAGTGTGAATAATAACTAACCTGGCTTATGAAGGGTTTACTGCAGGCTTGCCTTCTTGCCCTAATTAAAACAACTCATACAGAAAGGAATACTAGAATATGTGACAGATATTCTAAGCTTGAAACTCCTGTAAGGTTTTGTGTGAAGTTGTTCAGCTGTGATTACACAACCAGCAGGCCAGCTCTTACTGTTGCTGGTCATAAATCTCTCACACAGGATATCAGATTTTTTTTCTGGAAATCTCTGCTGTAAGCACAGTTGGTTCTTCCTGTGCCACACACCTGACTTGTCGTGGATCAGAATGTACAGAAAGAAAGCCCGATATTTCCTTGTGCTCCCTGAATACCCAGGGTCTGTTAGGGAGTGGCATATAAATTATATCAGTATTATGAATCATCCTTTCTTCTAAAAGAAAAGGCCATCTGTTTATTCTTGGGCATAAGTTCTAGCAAATATTTGTAAACATATTAAGGATCCTGCGATATTTATTGCATTTATTTATTGCATTTTCTCTATAGGACAATGAACTGGAAAAGATCACAAGAAGGTTTACCATGGAGCTGGCAAAAAAGGGCTTTATTGGTATGTTTTGCAATTTTTCTATTAAAAGTTAGGAACCTGATTTATTGCGCATTGGCAGTGCCCACTAGATAGTATCCTTAACTGTATTTTTGAAAGCTGTAAATAATTTGGGTAGAGAACTTCCAGCAAAGAGCCATAAAGATTTGACTCATTGCATCTCACTGTATTTTAAAGGATACTCTCAACTCTTTTTCTGTTCTGCTATGAAAAGCCACAACAGCTTTTCAACATTTTTCAACTTTTTCAACATTTTCACAACATTTCCTTTAGAGGCAGATTATAAAATTGTGACCAATTTTAATCTCTAATTAATCAAACTCTTCACTGTTACTGTTTCCTGTAGTGTGAGTTGAGGCTTTTGGCAGATATCTGGGGAAACAGAGGAAGGAAGTAGAAGGTCCACCCCAGAGAAAGTTGATGGCTTCACCCACGGCAACCACAGGCTGCAAGAGAAGCCTCGGCGAGAAGCAGAGGTGTCGTGTAACAGAACCTCAGCTTCTGTAACTAACAGAACCTCAGCTTCTGTAACGTTAGTAGGCGTTTCATTCAGACTCCAACCCTGAGCTGTTCTGAGTCTGGAGTTGCTATCTGAAAGTCTCCTCTGTTGAAAGCTGAATGTTGGTAGCTCAACTTGTATTGGAATGGAGGCTCTTTAACCTAGAGGTGAATAGTAAGGCGTGTGACTAGTTAAAGGCCTGTCATGTATTCCTGACGTCTAACTGCCCCTGGGAATGTATATCCATTTAGCTGCATTTTCTTGCTCACTAGCCAGAGTCTTTATCGCGTGCTCTTCCAGCCAGAATGCTTGTCATCTAAATTAAGCTTCTGTATAAACACACTTATTGATGTTACGTGTGACTAGGGTAATACTATACACTGTGCCAGCTATAGTGATTTTTAGTTCAATGACAATTAAAATGACTTGATTAAATTTGTCTTCCTTTTTTGCTTCAAACTAGCTTTCACAAAACTTTTAAAAATACTTAAAAAAAGAAAGTTTAAAATTGGTAGAGGCAGAGTTGCATTTAAAATCTTGCTGAGCAAGTCCCTGTGATCTTAAATAGGTAGGGCAAATGCTATTTTTAGTCATCTGGAAAAACAGATAGAGTATGTTTTTATTACAACAGATGTGTGAAAGTTCTTTCAAAGGTTTGTTTCATCAAGGAAGATGTAATGTCTGTTTCTTCAAGTAAGCAGTAAAATCAAATGCATGTGCTACAGTGCAATGACTAGGAACAGCCTATTTTCAATTTTTAGACTCACTCAGTAACAGAAAAGAAATGCTAATACAAAAAAAAAGCAATGGTTAACATCGTAAGTATATAGAAAACGTACCTAAATAGCATCCTTCCTATTGTCAAGTGTTTGATTCCTTATCTCGCTCTGACTTTTTATTGATAAACGGACTTTCATGTAATTGAATGGCTTGTGTGAAAGGTTGGAGGTTTTGATATTACCATCCAAATACATGAAACAGCATCTAACACCAAATTAAATCCAGGAGAATCTGTTGCTTGCATAATAAACTGAGGATTAAACAGGAGAACAGTTATTCTCTGCCAAGGCCCGCACAGTTCCCAAGGGAATGGTGGTTGAAGATAACTATTCATGTTTGATCCTTAAAAGCTGTTTTCACTGTTGCTGACAGGACCTGGTGTCGATGTTCCTGCTCCTGATATGAGCACAGGGGAGAGGGAGATGTCCTGGATTGCTGACACCTATGCCAGTACCATAGGACACTATGTAAGTTTTGAGCAGAGGCTTTGAAGCAGAAAACTTTCCTTCATCTTAGCAGAAACCCTTTTACCTAAAAATTTGTCACAGAATCACAGAACGTTACGGGTATTTTTTTTTGCCTGCCAGTTTTATATTATCAGCAAACTTCCTGAGGGTACACTCTATACCTTTGTAGCTTAATAACAGAATTTTATTTAATTATGTGGATCTAAATATATTGTTGCAAAATGTGACAACTGAATTGGTGTGGGGTTTTCAGGGTACAGTTAAGGAAAAATAGCTTTAAGGTTAATGGTTTTACACTAAAGCTAATTTTGATGCAATACTAATTGCAAATGTTCAGCACAAAGAAAATACACTGTTTTTAAAGGTCTCATGCTCAGTCTAAAACTGGTTTCTATTTCTGCCATTTCCGTCTGTTTTTCAATAGTACCATAATACTAATTTAAAGTTGTTAAACAATTAGTTCTTAATACACGGTATAGTCTTAGAGTACTGAAATCTTTCCATTTCAGCCTACTAAATTTGCAAGTGGTATTAATAAATGCTTGTGGGTTTGTGTGTTTCAAGAGACTTTGTAAATTAAGTCCACACTATTGGAATAATCTGTAAAAGTATTCTAACTTCTCTTTCAGACACTGTTTCTGCTACACCAGCTGGTCCCACTTTGCTAAGGAGTCTTGTGTAGCTTCATATCGATGTGATAATATGCTAAGCTACAGCACATTTGCCTATCCCAGCTCCTTTTGAATTGAAAAGACTTTATTTTCACTTTCTACTGTCCCTTCCAGCAGTTCCTCAGGAATGCAGCAGGGTGAATGCCCCCAGTAATAAGACATTAGAGCCAGCCGACACGTATTTCTCTTTGGCATGTCTGTTCAAGACGTGTCTGGTTTTGCTGAGACAGTCTCCTGGCAGAATACTTGTCTTGTGCTCTCTGATCCCTTTAACAACAGGAAGATGGGGTGGCATGGGTTATTCTAGACCTGGAATACCTTCTAAGGTGTCTTATGGGAGGGGGGGAAGGAATGATTGAGGAATAGACTGACATGCTGACTAGTTGAATTAAATCATTTTTACACAGAGCTGTTCGTTAGTTGGGATTTCACTATAACACATTAGAATCATAGAATGTCAGGGATTGGAAGGGACCTCTAGGGATCATCTAGTCCAACCCCCCTGCCAGAACAGGATCCCCTGGGGCAGGTCACACAGGAACATGTCCAAGTGGGTTCTGAAAATCTCCAGAGCAGGAGACTCCACAACCTCTCTGGGCAGCCTGTGCCAGGGCTCTGTTACCCTCACAGTAAAGAAGTTTCTCCTCATGAGGTAGTGGAACTTCGTATGTTCTAACCTAAACCCATTATTTCTTGTTCTATTGCTGGGCACCACTGAGAAGAGATTGTCTCCTTCCTCTTGACACCCACCCCTCAGCTACTTATATACGTTAATAAATCCCCTCTCAGCCATCTCCTTTCAAGACTAAACAGCCCCAGTTCTCTCAGTCTCTCTTCTTAGGAGAGATGTTCAAGTCCCTTGATCATCCTCGTGGCTCTCCACTGGACTCTCCAGTAGGTCCCTGCCTCTCTTGAATTCACATGTGTAAATGTAAAGATTTTACTTAAAAGTTTAAATCTGATAAAAAGCCAAAGTTAGGACTTCAAAATGACTACAATATGCAGAATGGCAACTTGTTCCCTCAGCTGTAACTTAAAATTCCAACATTTAAGGAAATTACTGCTTCCAAAGCATTTCAAGCTTTAACACTTAATTCACTGCACTGAAATATTTTATATTTTATATTTTGCTGTGATACAACAGCATTGTTGTACTACCACTGACAGAGAAGGCTCACAGCACATGACCTGCTTTGAGATTTGCTGTCTTTGTTAGTAGTTCACATAGAGTTTTATACGCAACCGTCAGGTTTTTTAATAGGTGGAAAACTAAACCCTGATACTGGAGAAGATTTTTAAATGCCTGAATTTCTTACTCTTTCCACTTTGTCATCTCAGCTTGTTGTGTAGTCCTACACACGTACACACTGCAGTGACAGAAGAAACCAAACCAATAACTACTGAGGATAAAAATACAATTTGATTTATCCTACGACAGCATCTTTTACTCCTAGACTCTCTCTGGGTGGCAGTATCTTATTCCTGAAGAATATAAAAACCTGAGAGGATTTAGGCACATTTTTCTGAGAAGTTTATCAAAGAACAGAAATAACGGAGAAAAGATTTTATTGGGTTGTTTGTACATGAAAGAGAGAATAGTATCCATAATGGAGCTTGTGAGCTATTGCAGAGAATGGCCAGGTATAGAGAAGGAAGGAGAAGACTCTGACAAGGCCGTAAAAATGTGGAATAATCTATCAAACCTAGTTTGTAGAGGAAGATGTTTCAGCTATCTGGCTGAGACACCAAGAACAACAAAAAGGTGATTAGGGAATACCAAATATACAAAAGTGACCGTAGGAGACAGAGGGAAGGGAACTATGAGCAGAAAATGACCATTGAACAAGAGCAAAGGTAACCATAATTCAGAGAACAGATGGAAGCTGTGCAAGGGACTTCATTCAGCTGAACGGAAGGATAACTCTTCAGTGAGAGGGATCTATCTGAGAAATCTACAGACCTGATGACTCAGTGTGTGATTGCACACGAATGTGTTCAGGGAGCTTAAAGTGGAAAGGAGAAGTCAAATAACAGAAACAGATAGGTGAAGTCTGCTTGAAACCTAACAGAGCCAGGAAGCTGGAAAGACAAGGAGAATATTATTTTTGCGGTGGATAGGGGTTAAGAAACAAGTAAAAGATCAGTGTCTGAACTTTGCCAACTAAGTTCATAGACAATTAGTACTAATAGTCTCTAATGCCAGCCATAAGTCATTTTACAAACTTCTAACTAAAATTCCTGGTCTCTTTTTTTGGCCCATGATGTGTTAAACATTTTTTTGACTGAGAAAAACAAAGGTTTTAGGACTTTGACTGAGGTTTGTATAAGTGACTTTAAGGAGACCCAGACCCGCCCTCACCTCATGCTCTGTTTTCTTGTCAAACCATGCAAGTCTTTAATAAATACCCTGTTAACTGTTCCAGAAAATCCATCCTGAGTTGCCGTATCACTGAGTTATATATGGCTAAGGTTTCTGATTAAATTAATCTTTTCCACTCTTCTGTACTTCCTGACAATCCAACTGACTTCTGGGACACTTGAAGGGACCTTAATAAATACTTTCTTAGGTATGGAGGCTGTATTTCTTCGAATATTTATAAAACGTACTTCCTCCTTTGTGAACGCTTGAGGCCTGAAATGTAGTTTCAATCTGAAACAGAATGTAAACCTAAAAATACATCCAAATGCCTGGGCAAGTTGTCCCTAGCAAATCGCCACCACAGGTTGTGTTTACAGTTGATATGCCACCAGAGGGAGCATACAGCTTAATGTCAGCAATGCAGCTATATTTTGGGAAACCGAATCAGGAATTTTGTGTTTTTAAAGAAGTGTTATCTTTGGCTTTGTATGTTAACTCAGTACCATTTTCAAACAATAAATATTTTTCGTTTCCACTGGGGCTCTACTCATCTGCTGCCATTCTGTCTCCACTTACTTTTGACTGCTCCTTTCCTTCCTCTCACCGAGCCTCTTGCACTCACACCACAGGCATGTGAATGGATTTGGCACCAGTGGTGGAGGGGAGGGAGCCTCCCAGGGAAAATGCGGCTGGTGGAATAGAAACCCATCCGGCTGCTGGCAGACTCATTTCAGTGGATTTTTTCCCTTGTGTGGGAGGCCAAGCCCCTGTGTGACTGTGCTCCCAGGGTGTGGGAGCATGGAAGCCAGTGGGCCAGAAGAGGGAGGCCCAAATGGCATCTAGTTTGGAAGACATTTCTTCAAGCTATTAATTACTACTTGCAAAATAAACTCTGGTTTTAAATAGTCTGTTTTCTCTTGGCTAGCTGTCTAGCATATGGAAGACTTCATTTTTATTGCCACTGAACTAAGGATAGAGGCTTGACTCTTTATATTGTTTTTCTGAATAAAAGTAGTAAATACTTATCTAAGTTTTCCCATATGACCCTCATACTGTAGATTTTCCTCCAAGATCAAACATCCCTGTATTCTGACAACAGGAAGGTATAAAGCTGTGTTGTCATTTCAGAATAACTTAATTTGGCATAAAGGAACATTAAACATGGTTTACAGACAATTAAAAGCCAGTGCAAGGATATGTCTGAGCCCTTTAAAAGATTAAAATGTCAATAATAGTGCTGGAAATTAGGGCTGTAATAGGAGCTGATTTTGACAAACATGTCCCTCAGACCTTTTTGATTTGTCTGCTTGTGGCTAACAATGCAACATAGATGTCACCATAATTAACTAACCACAAAATGAAGTTAACATGTACACTTAAATAAAACAAAAAATGACAGAGCAAATTCAATATTGCGTTATGCAACTTTCCTGACATCTACTTGGAGTACTTCTGCGAAGATGTTCACACAAAGTGAGAGCAGAAATAATCCTTACAAACTGGATATATATAAACTACATCATATTCTGACTCTTACGATTCCTGTTTTCCCTTATCTCTGTACAAAAAGCTTGTTAAAAAAAGTGTACAAAAAGTTCCTTGATTAAATCCATAGCTCACAAGTCCTTCACTGTTTTACAGGATATTAATGCACACGCCTGTGTAACCGGTAAACCCATCAGCCAGGGTGGGATCCATGGGCGTATATCTGCAACTGGTCGTGGTCTCTTCCATGGAATTGAAAATTTCATCAATGAAGCATCCTATATGAGTATATTAGGAATGACTCCTGGATTTGGGGATAAAACATTTGCTGTTCAGGTAAGTTTTTATCTTTGACTCCAGGGAAATAGCAGTAAACAAACTTGCAGTAGAGCTGCTTTTAAAAAGGGCTGCAGCAATAAATCCTGTTAGGGTTTTACGACTTCCAAGTTAACCTTTACCCTCAAACTTCAGAAATACTTTTCAAGCAACACAGGTGCCCTTTATTGTGGACTCTTTTTTAAAAACCGAGCTTTTGATTATGCTGTACAGTCACAAAGCCAGATCTCCAAATCTTTACAAACACAGGCTGCAAGGAGAGTGAAGTACTGTTACAGGAGTTCTCTAAACTGAGGAACTGAACATTTTTCAATCAGCTGTGACACTGTTCCTGCCTACAGAAAATTTGTTATGCTTTTTTTTTAGTAAAATTTTTAGGGAGAGAAGGAATTGGGGGTTCTGTTCATGTTCTACGGAATGAGCAGTTGGAAAACTAGAAACCCATCACTTGCACTAAGTTTGCAGGGTAGAACGTACATTTTTGATGTTCATAAGACTTAATTAAAGATTTAAGTAGTTGCATTTTGAAGGGGTTTGGTATTCAGTAATATGCATTATCGTTCTTAAAATTTCAGAGAACTACCTTGTTCTGCTCAGTACTTTAAACTCCGGATTTGAGGAACTGCTTCATTTTGTTATTTTTGGTACCAATACACTGGTTGTTACAAAGAGCAGAGTAATTATAACTTCCAAGTTGCCCTCTAGTTAACCAGTGGGCTGACACAAACACCTCTGCCCTGCACGGACCCCGCAGCACATTCGTCTCCCTGCACTTTGGCATTTTCATGCCTGGCGCCGGGCTAACCAACAAGCACTTAAGCATAACTTAGACCAAAAACGCGGCCATAAGAAGAGCTGAAGATAGTTCTAGGAAAATGAGGATACAGCATTGCAAAAAGACCTGATGCATGACAAACCGTTGGATCAAAGTTTGCTTCTAGTATATGGACAAAAGTCCTAAATATAAGTGAAGCTACATTATACAGGAATTTAAGATTTAGCTTTTTTTCCAGCATGGAATCTTACTACAAACCTTTGACGTGGACCGTGACACCTTCTGCTGTTTCACAGGTTCAGGAGTGTTTAATAATGGCCCGGAATTAGGTTTGCTACACCTATAAGGATGTAAAACATGCTAATGAAATGCAAGATTATTTAAATTTAAATTTAGGCAACCTGTTTTATACAGCACCATTTCAGAAATGTGTCAGAAATTGCATAACCTCCTACTAGTTCATGTGTTCTAACATGAAGAATTAATGATATTCTTGTTTAATACTTCCCTTTGTGGGATGTTTTTACACTTGTAAGCCTCCTTCATCCAAATTAAATATTTCTGGGCCTGCATATGTTAGTCACACCTTTGAATAGACATACAAAACCCCATTAACCCCTCTAAGACAATGCCAGTTATAATATTCCTATGTTGATAAACATCGTGGGTTTTTTGATGCTTTCCTTGTAGCATTTTTGCTTCCCTTCTGTATTTCCAGTATAAAAAATGTAGAGCACGACTGTCTATTGCTGTCTAACATGCTTAATTTCTACAATGGTATTCAGACTGAAATAGAGCACATACAGATTTCCTCCCATCTTTGCTATACACATCATCTAATACCAATATATGCCAACAGATGAAGAGCTGTTTAAAACTATTCAAAGCTATGTAAGCCTCAGCAGTAATCATCATTTTTAGCTGAACAGTTAACTAATTCTCCCTTTTTCTTTCCACGTTCAGGGATTTGGTAATGTGGGCTTGCATTCTATGAGATACTTGCATCGTTTTGGAGCAAAATGTGTTGCTGTTGGAGAGTTTAACGGTTCTATCTGGAATCCTGATGGGATTGACCCAAAGGAACTAGAAGATTACAAATTGGTATGAAACTTAGCTGAGCAGAAGGAGTTTCATTTCTGTCAGCTTTGCAAGTACATAGGATGACTGTAGACTGGTGTTAATTTGTGATATTAAATCATGCTGCAATTAGTACTTACAAAATGACTTAGGACTATTTATTCTTCTGGCCTTCTCCTTATCCTCAGTATGAATGCAGGTGGTACTTTTACACTTTGACCTGACTCTCCGAAAAACAGCAAGGGCTTGCATGCATGCAGGCTGATTGCTTGGTTTCAGAATTGGAGGTCATGGTTATTTTGCCTTTCTTATGACTAAAGTAGGAGCTAGGGCAAGGAGCTTCATGAAGGATTCCTGACTAAGCGTCACAAGCAGATCGACATTTAAGAGTTCAAAGCGCACTATTGCTGCTTCTTACCCACTGGATGTTTCTGAAAAAGTGAAAGCCTGTCTGGCAGTGTGACTTGAATACATAATTTATAATGAAAACTGGATATAGTCTTTTTATTTCAGTTTACAAGTGAAGCAGACTTGAGGAGACACTTCATAGGTGCTAAAATACAGTCTTCTACTTAAAGAGTTTCTAAGGGGCTTATTTGATGTGCTTTCTTTTATTCAGGGAGTCCTTGAATGTCTTTATCACTCCCTTTTTCAAAAGAATGAAAGAATACTGTCACTAAACAAAAGCTGTCTTTATAGTACTGAATTTTAAAATGGTACTTGTGAATCTTATGTTAGGCAGCTTATCCTGTGTGTAACCGACTGGTGGGTCATTTCAGTTGTTTGAAAACTATTGTACTTGCCGTGTGTTTTTATTTTTTTAAAACACTCCAGATCCTAAATGCTTCTCAGTGTCTTTGACCAGAGAGCAGTTATGCCTCAGTGATGGGAACTTTGACTGTTACCCAAGCTTTGTGGCTTGCTCTTTATGCCTAATCTAAATAAAGGCAGAAATTATGTTATGTACTGTCTTTCTGGTACTGTTGCTTCTCCTTTCTTTCTTTTTTGAAAGTTAGAAGGGAAGGAAGTCATATGAATACACACACACTAAAAACACCCTGGCCTGCTTTCTTCAAACAGCAACATGGGACAATCATGGGCTTCCCTAAAGCACAGACACTTGAGGGCAGTATTCTGGAAACAGACTGCGACATTCTCATCCCTGCTGCCAGCGAGAAGCAGTTGACTAAAGCCAACGCTCACAAGGTTAAAGCAAAAGTAAGTTGAAGAGTTCAAATGTAAATTAAAAATAGAGAAGGCCTGTTTAAATACGAGTATTTTATAATTAGCTCAGCTGGAAACAAGCATATACCTCTGAGTTCCTCTGCTGTGATTCCTTTCAGATTATTGCTGAAGGTGCCAATGGGCCTACGACTCCTGAAGCTGACAAAATCTTCTTGGAGCGGAATATCATGGTTATCCCTGTAAGTTTCTGTGTTGACCTTTGATTTGCATGAGAAGGGTGATATTTCTGTGAATTGTAGCAAGGTGGGTTTTGTTAATAACCGTTCAGTTTCTTAGAATGTTTTTTTTTAACAACTGATGTCTAGGAAATGGGTTTCAGTGTTGTTTAAGATTGCTAGTAATGGCTTAAAGATCTACAAGTGTAAATGATCAGAGATAACTATTACATGAAGGCTACATACTCAGAAGAGAGAACAATTGACAATTATTTTTTAAATCTGTAGTATTGAAATATTAGATGACATTTGCTTAACTGAATAGTCAACTAAGCAAAGGAAGAAGGCAGAGTAAATACACTGTCCAATTTCTTTGCAAACATTGTGTCTCTGGGTGCTGCTCTGACAGAGCTGTGTATTGTAGGTTATATAGAGTAAATGTTGCCTATAGTGGTAACTTGAAAGAATAAGACCTATCCGGGTATAATGATGATAGTTTCCCAGAGAAAGGGTGTCAAATGATATTGCTAGAAAGAGTGGCTGATCTTCAGCCTTTACTCACTGAGATGGTGTAAGAATGCCCTAAATTTCTTGATTAAAAACTTGTGCTGAAATAAAAGGAAGTAGGCAGTCAAGCACACCTGAACTTCACGTCTTCTAAAGTCAAGTCCTCTTTTATATAAGTAGAAGTAATCTCTGCAGTGCAGAAAAGGATAAGTTCTGTCAGGTAAGAGTAACAGGTGGATTGTCTTCTGTGCTGCAGCTTAAACTAGTACTTTGTACATAATACTTCTGCTTGCTTTTGCTTAATACAATAAAGCTGTCTTTGTCACATGGCCACAATTCAAGGCATTTACTGTTTCTGTGCAGGATCTTTACCTGAACGCCGGTGGCGTAACAGTATCCTATTTTGAGTGGCTGAAAAACTTGAACCACGTCAGTTATGGTCGATTGACTTTTAAATATGAAAGGGATTCTAACTACCACTTGCTCAGTAAGTACTCAGTTCTGCTTTTGTTCACTGTTGAATTAATAGATTGGACTAGCAAACACCAAATGTGGAAGAATGAATACAGAACTAATTTAAAGTTACCACACGTTCTCACAAGTCTGTTACTGCTGCATACTGAAGAGTAGGAAAAATTTGGTAGGTTAAATGACATACAGCTCTAATGACTTAAGTTAAACACATATTTTTTTTTTAGTTACCTTTGAATTCATAAAGTGATGCTTTCCTCAGTTTTGAGACAATAGTGAACTAATCCACTTCTGTAAAATATTTGTTACTTCTCAATAAACATCTTCAGCTGTACACTTGGTATTTGAGAATTATTCAAAGTTCAAGTTGTTTTGCATATACAACAGAGGATTTCTACAAAAGGCAATAATAAAATTGGTACAGGTGCTGTAAAAATCTGCTTATGGCCTCAGCTCCACTTGGGATCATTCTGTTTTTCCCAGTTTCGTGGCCAGAATACCAATTACATGGAGTGAGGGAGTTTAATGGAGAAGGACTGCACAATATTGCTCCGTTTTAAACAACATTCTGTAGGAAACCTGAGAATCTTGGGACATTGGACTTGAGAAAAGATATATCTGCATGTTTTTTAATATAACATAATGTCTCAAGGTGTTTCTAAAGTGGTTGAGGGTTATAGCAATTCTAATTTAAATCTCTTTTCTTAACTTCAAGATTATGTCGTCTGAAATCCTCTGTGATGTGAAGGGAACCATACTAACCAAATTTCAAGAATTAAGATGAAAAAAATAGAAATTCAAACACCAAAGCACTTCTTATGTCCTAAGGAAGAAACCTAAAATTTCACAAGAGCTTTTTCTTAGTAAATAGTGTGTATGCAAAGTGCAGTAAGAGATAACTGATTCCTCTAACCTCAAGAAATACTTTGTCTAATGCTATCTTTCAAGTTAGGAAAATTAACCCAGATTACTCTATGAGCTTTATAAGGTTAGCAAAGTGGCATCTGTAAATCCACAGTTGCTTGTCACGTGACTGTACTGTAGCAATACTACTAATAATGTTGGAGGTATTCACCTATAAAATCTTAAAAACCAACATATTTCCCTTTTTAAAAAAAACTAAAAAAAAAAAAGATTACTCCCTTTGCTCACAGTCCCTATAGTTTCATGCCATCAAATGTTGAAAATCCTGGGGTCAGCTCCTCTGTTAAGGAGCACATCTGTTTCCTTGCCAGTTACCTTGCCTCTGCTTTTTTTCCTTTCTAGTGTCTGTCCAGGAAAGCTTGGAAAGAAAATTTGGGAAACATGGTGGAACTATTCCAGTTGTGCCTACAGCAGAATTTCAAGATAGGATATCGGTAAGTTGTTGCTGCTGAATTTTTGTTACCGTTACTCTAGCTGTATTCCAATATTATAACTGTAATCTAAATTTTACGGTTGTGGCAATCATGAAGGTTTTTGACCCAAGCAAGGCATCAGTACGTAGTTAGCCTGACGGCCAGATAAACAGAGCAAGCAAATGATCTGAACCACTTTGGGAATACTGGAAGATGTTTTTTCTTTCTTTCACCTGAGCCCATGTAAAGTACCTCCAGTATTAAAAAGCTACATTTTTAATACAGATGCATTTTGCATTTGTAACTAGTGTTAGACTTTATGTTACAGTTCATATACTAGAGCTTTTCAGCACAATGGACTTTCTCCATTATTTAGACAAACCATGCAATTTTGTTTTGTTTTTTTATTACTGAGGAGCAGGCAAGTAAGGAAAAATCAAAAACCTGTGCTCTTTCTTGATGCCTTCTTATGCTATGAAATAATGATACTTCTGCTGGCTAACCCATTAAATATAATAATTCCGTGACTTCTTTGAACCCTAGCTGTCAAAGCCTATGGAGCTTTTGTAGTGGGAAATACTGCCTCCAGCATTACCAGAATTTGTTTTGGAGATCTTGTTGATTTAGTTTGCTTAGATTTCCAAACAACTTTCAAGAAGATCTCACACCATAGGCAGTTTGAACACTGTTTCTATAACTCCAGGAAAGTGCAGAGAAGAGCTAGGTGAAAAATTGTAGAGTGTTCCACTAATACTGAATTAATGGGCAAAGAAATGTCAGGTAAAATTCATTGTTGTCTAATACATAGCTATATACAATGGGGAAATTTTCATATAAAATGATGGGTTGTGAGTTCATCGATTTGCATTCAAATGGAAGACCTGGATGTAATGACAAAATACTTAGCTTTGAAATTCATAGTAGTCAAAAAGCAAACCCAGTGTTAGAAATTGTTGGGAAGGGAAGGGAAAAGAATAAGACTGACTAATGATGCCGCAATACAAATCCAGAATGCGTCTGCCCTCTGAGTACTGTGAGCAGTTTAGGCCTCTGTATCTTCATACTTTATAGATGTGGAATAAATTCAGAGCAAGATCACGAGAATAATCAGAGATAGAGAAGCTTCCCATTCGCAGAACAGTGAGCTAACCTATGTCCTCTTGGCCTGAATTAGTCCCGCGGTGGAGTTGGCAATCTGTAGAACGAGTGATGGGAAGATGGATGGGTGAGGATTGATTGCTCACTGGAAGGAATGGTGAGAGAGAACAGATGCATTCAAACAAAACCTATGAGGTGCAGAACGCCAAGGGATGAATGGAAGCTGAAAGAGTCAGTCACATTGTTTTAACACAAGCTCAGGAGAAGGTGGGATAGATTATTGGGGGAAAAGCCCCAGTGAAAATTACTAAACCGCACTTCCTCAGGAAGAAATCAGGGGAAGTGCATGTAAGCTTAGACCACTGTCAGATGATAGAAATAGACTTCAGCCTGATTCGGTATGATGCTAGTGTTTTCATAAATGTTAGGCTGAATGAGTAGCATGGTAGATAGGTTCTGTGGCTTAAAAAATTGCTGTGATATCTTAAATGCAAGCCATGGAAACCAATCTACTCAGTTCTGTATGCAGCCCAAATTAGTATTTGAGGGAAAGCATGTATTTTGTGAAGCCAGATCTCAAATTATTAGTAAATTACAGCAGTTAGCATGATGGAACATCCAAGCTGATATCAGTCATCCTAATTCAGACTATCGTCAGTTATTTATTGTTCTGCGTATTTAAATTTGAATGGGAACAAAGTTACTCTGGAGTTGCTCAGGGCTAATACAGTGCTGAGTAAACGAATTAGGGATCCATGCTCTTAAAACTTGTCATCAGTTGCAAGTAGCTTCTATAGGTTATTAACTCTTGGGAGCTTTTTTGTTTGACGTTTACTGTGTCTTCTGAAGGCTGAAAACAATAGTTACAACATCAACAAAAAAGTGCTAGCATCATGCATCTAGAAGCTGGACATATAAAAGACTTGAGTGCTTATGTCTAAGGTTTTTGAATTGAATTGACCATAAGGTGATTTAGATTCTTACACCAGTCATTAGATGAAAAGAAGCGAGTAAACTTCACAAATGATGGGAACCCAATATGTCATTGTCCCTAATACACAACCAGTACCTTCTTGTATTGTGGATTAAACCCTGATTTTATTCCCTGCTGTTGTAGGGCGCGTCTGAGAAAGACATTGTCCACTCTGGGTTGGCTTATACAATGGAGCGTTCTGCCCGGGTAAATATAAGAAAAAGAATTTGCATTACTTTGCAACAGTTTTTGAATAGATTATACAGAATTTCTTTGCAGCTAAAGCAGTAGATGAACAATTCATGATAATGGAAGTCACCGTGAGTATGATGTATTTCTGGTCTGTGCCAGGATCATCAACTGAACATTAGAGATGAATACATGAAATCATAGAATGAAATCATGTTGGGCTGGAAGGGACCTTTGAAGGTCGTCTAAGTCCAACTCTCTGCAGTGAGCAGGGACATCTTGAACTAGACTAGGTTGCTTCGAGCTCCATCAAGCCTGACCTTGAATGCCTCAAGGGATTGAGCCTCCACCAGCTCTCTGGGCAACCTGTTGCAGGGATTCATCACACATACCTAACAGTGTAACCTTACCATCAGCAGTTTTGGATTAATCCTCTATACAGTGTTTTTTATTAGTGGGGTAAAAACTACTTTCAGCAACTTGTAGCTGCCTGTATCTGAGATACGTATGGATCCAATACCTGAAAAAGGCCATTGTATTATCCTGGGAAAGATTTTCTTCCCATTACACTTCTCATTTGTAAGCAGAATCAAAAAATTTTAGAATTGATCCACAAGGGATTGGAGCTCCAATACCAGTGTAGTAGTTGCACATGCTCCTAACCTGGATCCTCCAAGTGAAATCTAGCTTAGTTCCTATGGAGAAACCTGCAGAAATCACATGTAACCTTTCCTGTTCCAGCAAATCATGCGTACTGCCATGAAGTACAACCTGGGTCTGGACCTGAGAACAGCTGCCTACGTCAATGCAATTGAGAAAGTCTTCAAAGTGTACAATGAGGCTGGCCTGACCTTTACATAAACAGGCTGTTACCGCTCCTTATTGTATCCCATCCCTCTTGCTGTTAATGTACCCTCTTCTTGAGAAAGCTTATCACAAGTTTACATGTAACCACAAAATTTTCTTTTCTTCTGACATTATAGTGGATTCTATTCTCAATTAGTTTCAGTCCAGACTAGTCTTTTTTTACAATAAAAAATAAATCCGTGGATTAGGAAGTGGTATACAGCTATGTATCTGAAGATAACAGTTCATCTGCACTTGTGGGGGCCATTCTGGGTATTTCGCCTACAAAACAAAATGGTACATTTTACATATAAAAGAGTGGTCTTGCCACCTGAGCCACTTCTCAGACTTCAGATCAGATACTGTACTAGATGAGCACTTAGCTCATTATTACTTCATGCACTTTTGTTTAATGATGTAATTTTGGCTTCGGCACTTTCAGTAAGGCCTTGTATGATCAATGCTGTGGCATTGTCAAAGGAAGAATGGGCCTCCAGCAGGGATTAACTTTGATAGGAGTCTAGTTTTTATTTGTAGTAAAGCTTCAGGCCTGATTCTCTTTAGGCAATGTTTTTTCTTTAACTGTGCTGCTGTTGTAGGACTGCCTTTTATTGCTTATTCAAGCTAGCTTGACTATCACCATGAAGTGTATAGAGGTGACAGACTAATATTTTTATAAGCTGAAACTATTGAGCAACTCTAGTTATGTTTTTAATCAAGTATCCACAAAACTATTCTGACTGTAGGTTGTTTTGTTGGTTTTTTTTAAAGGGATAGTCTGAATTTGGTAAGCACTCATACTTAGGTTTTTTGGAATTTCTTTTTGGTCTTTTCCTTTCAGAGGCTTTCTGAAAATTAGATTCTGCCTCAGTGAACAACTAAAGTGAAATAGAACCCAGAAATCATTGGCCAAACTACAGAGGAGCTAGAATGCTGCTATAAACTTAATCCACTGTCTTAACACACACACAGCCTTCTTTATTTTTTTTTGTCATCAGGAGGTCTTGAAAGTTTTGAACATTATTACAGTACAACAAAATGGACCTCAAAACAATATTGGATCAAGCACAGTTTTTAAAGCGTAAGGCTTTTGTCCTGTGGAGTCCCCTTCAAGTGCCAGACGTTATTTATGTAATGAATATGAATGTTTTTTTTAAAAGACAATTAGTCCCTCCCAGAAACTCATGCTTTTTTTCTAACTACTTTGTAACTGCATGACATAACCTGGAGAGAAGAGCAGTTATTAAAAAAAGTTGACCTTTCCAAACCTACTATGCTGGTGTATTACTGTTTTCTATTTTGTGCAATAGCTTTCTGTAGTTATTCTCAATCTGTGAATCCTCACAACACACTTGTTTATTCATTACATGCCTGCTGGTAAGATGCTGTCTCTTTGAGTTTTTCTAAAGGGCTCACTAGTACAGATCTCTGTCTCTTGAACTTGCCTGTCAGCAAAACTTTGGAAGTTGGATCTACTTGGTAAATAATTTCAGGTCCTTACACTGTCCTCTCAAATTTGTGTGAAGACCTATTCTAGTAGTTAGCAGGGAGCAATAAACCTGTGTGATGTATTTAATTAGTGGCTTACTCCATCATACATGCTTATATCAGGGTTATAGAAGTATTACAGATCACGTAAGTGCAGTGTGTGTGTATATATATATATGTACACGCACACACACTGGCCTTTATTAAAAAAAAATAGAACCTCTTGAGCATGGAAGATTTGCTGTGATCAAGGTGTGGATTTCTAAACTTGAGATCTGCATCTTGGATTTTTTTTCGGTGCAGTTCTTATGTAAACATTTATCAGGTAATAAAATGAAACTAAGATTTTAACAATTCCGCTCTGAAAAACTGTAACCTACTTCCACCAAAACCTGGAGGCTAAAACCTTGCAAATAAAGAAAGTATCTTAGAAGTCATGTTGCATTATCCAGCAGCAAAGTTGTTGAAAGCAAAATGCAGTAACGGGAAAGAAACTTAACTAATTTACTGCTCTTCTCCCTCCTCTCTCCTTTCCAGCTAGTAGAAGACCTCTAGTTTGCCTTTGCAAACTTGAAAAATGGGTCTCTTTCAGTGTTGGAGCATATAGAGAGCTGTCATAGCTAACTACCTGGGGCACCTTCTAACCACTCTGAAGGGAAAAAAAAAAAAGCCAAAAGCTGCACAGAGCCTGAATTCCCCAATTCATTAGCATCTTACACTCTTGTACACGCACACGTTAACACTTGTTTTCCCAAGGCATGTCAGAAGAAAAGCAGAGCTACCACCTGGGTGAATCGACCAAACCAAAAGACGAGCACTTAAGGTTGACTGGATTTCTCCTCAGCCAACCTGAGCGCAGTGGTTACTGACCTCTTGTTATCAGTTGGTGTTGGAGACATGAACCTGAGGATATCCAAGGCGTGGTAGAAGAGGAACTTGGGCTACTCTTAGTCAGGGTCAAGATTCCCAAGAAGATTGATGCTTGGAGTCTGACTTAAGATTACAGCGTGGCAGCTGATTCACCATTTGTTTGTAGCAAAGCCTAAAAACCAAAATCTATCAGTGAATCCCAACTTCCTGTGATAGCCTGCTCTGAAATGGTGCCATACAGTAACGACCTGACTGGTGCTGAGCACTGTTGAGCTCAGTCTTAATGTGATCAGACAGTTAAGAAAAAGCAAAAATGCAATCCTTATCGCATTTTGTAGCGCCTACCTCTTAAGACCTGGCAATATCAACAGCGAAAAAAGGTTGTAAAATTTCACACATTTGCTGTGACTTAGTGTGGATTTAGAGGCTCAAGTGCAAAGCAGCTCTAGCCTTTTCTAGCCCCTAACCACAGCTGAAGAAAGCAATTAAACGTTAGATCAAACTTCTTGGGGAACTCTCCCCTCCTGACCTTTACATACTCCCTCACCAAGTTTATCTTCCAGCTAACAACATTGTCACTGCTTGTTTTCACTTACACGCCACTAGATATTCACCACGAAACTTGCTAGGGCATTTGACATGGAGTCAGTCGGCACCTGACCTTGGATTTGAACACCATGTGGAAAGGGCTCCGAGCCATGCCTCCTACCTAGAGCAAAACGCATCCTTACCCTGCAGGCGTTCCTAATCTCTCAGGCAGTATTAAATGCCAGTCACATAGATAGTTCATGACGAATAGTATCGCAGTAAGTACTCTGAAGCTGCCACTGAATTTTGTAATGATGACAACTACAGTTCCACCCACAAAGAACTAAAGGCAGGATATCTCTATTATACAGAAGGGCAAGTAGACCCATCATTTGTTTTATCCCAGCAAAGAACTTGAAACTACACCTGTTGTCACTGATGGCAACTGTCACCATCAGAGGGAAGCATTGGAGCAGTGACAATTCTGTGATTTCAGGATGCCAAGTAAGTGACTTCTCAATTGCTTTGTTAGTAATTGTCAAGTCTGTAGTATCAGATTACCAGATCATGTGTACATGGAGGCTGTTGTTGTTGAGTCTTTGTTGTTCAGCTGGTTGTTTTGTTGGGTTTATTTGTTTGATTTTACCCACACTGGCTCAGTTATCACTTTTTAAGCTCCTGCTTGATTACTGTGCATCTGTGTGTTTGACAAGAGCCCTGCAAACACATTAAGTGACAGTGCTGCATTACTCATCCCTGCTGAGCTGTGCTGAGCCACTGAAGTTGCACAAGTGATCCGGCGCTGGCAGCGTTAAGCATTGAGCTCAGTGCTTTGGCAGCAGTAGCGCACCCTTCTGCTGCCAGCACTAGAGTATCACAGCACTATTGTACAGTGGTTTCATATACCTTAAACACGTGAGTCTTCATTAGCACAGCAGATAATTGCAGTTTTGTAGATGAGACCAGAAATACAAGCACAGTCTCAGAAGCACACAGGTGCTTACCTTGGCTTGAAATTACTGTTGGGTGCTCAGCTTGTGAGACTCACAATCATGATTTGCACTCAGTGACAAAATGGGAGAGACCGGCTCTCAGGTCCTTGACAACTTTACATTGTGCCCACTCCAAGCCAACCCTTACCTCATTTAAAAAAAAAAAAAAAAAAACAAGGTTTGTCTGCATTGATACCACAGCATAGCTTTAGCTGTCTGCTCTTGAAGTAAAATCCAGTCTTTCTAGACCAGTGACTGTGTTTGCTTTTAAATACATCTAACCAAAGGATTCCTAAGGAGTACATGCAAGCCAGGTAGAGTACAAGTATTTTCTTTATTTTAGAGTACATGTAGTAGAAACTTGTTTACAAAAATTTCAGTGGTGGCACATTTTTATCTTCATTGTCCAAAGCTTTTGCCCCACGAAGTTGCTTGATTCGCTACATTTTTCACAGCTTTTTCACCAGTTTCAGCAACTTTGTAGACTTCATCAAGAGCTTTTAAAACAGAAAAAAAAAGGTAACTGTAGCATCACTGCAACACCTTCCCCTTTCCCAGCAGGTGAGGGACAAGGAGCAAGACAGGGTTGGGGGACCTGTCTGGCATTTCACTGACGTGACATTGTTGAAATAAGCAAAATAATTTCCATACCTTTCTGACCAGCATCCTTAGCCTGTTCCACTGCTTGCTGCACAGTCTGGCCCACAGCATTTACTGGAATTAGGAGAAAAAGAAGCGTCAATTAAGCAGTCTTTACCCTTCCCCTAAATTCAGTAATCACATTTTAAAAGGGTTCCCTAAATGGTTCCAGGCTAGAAAGTGAAACTTTATTCTGTAGGCACTCTGATCTAGTGGGAATTATTAGAACTGTGGCTACAGCTCCCCACGTTATCCGTAGGTCTTGGTACAAATGAGCATTATAATGTGTCACCTGCAGTGTCAGGAAACAAACCCTAGTAGAGAATCAGGTGCAATGAAACCTTTCTTTTACTGAAGTGGGCTAGGATCTGCTGAGACGAGGCTTGGGCAGTTTGACTGGTAAAGATTCTCTCACCAACAGCTGGCTGCAGCAGCATGCTGTGAGAGCAGCACGTCAAAATGTAGTGAATAGGCTAATACCTGCAGCTAGAGAACAATTTATTCTTTAAGAGACCAGACTAGTTTTAAAGGCATGGATATATTCAATAGGGAAGACTTGAGACATGAAGAGCAAAAGAAGGTGCTGTCTTAAAGTGGAGGAGCTGCAGCCTACAAAATAGTGATAAATATTTGGATCATCTCCAGTAGCTATGATTGGGGAAGACTTGCTCCCACAAATCAAATAACAGTTTGAGACAAATAGTCTCCCGCTGAACCTGTATTTGTTTTATTCCCCCTGTCTCCAAATACTATCTTTTAAAAAACATTGACATAATAGACACAGAAGGGGACTGTCTGAACAAGCCAGATTCATCCTGGTTGTTGTGTGAGGGAGAAGTGCTGAGGTGAGCAAGGACATTTAAGTCAACTGGGAGTGCCTGAAACTTCAACCGTCTTTAGGTCTTCAATAGTAGCTGTTTTGTTAAGTGTCTTGTAAAAAAACAGTGGCCTATTTCACCGTAGGTGAACTTTCTACTGCATAAAAGATGTTCTAATTATGATAATGTGTCTTCTTTTACTGCAGTTTCCTAACACGGATGATGTTCACTGCTCATAAGGTACAGCTAACAAGAGTGTTACAGGAAGCATTTTCAGGCCACCCTCAAGCTTGTGGCTTCTTTCAGGAACCATGGTGTTAAACCTCCCTAACAATGGCTCATCTGATTGGCACATTACTTAAATTTGGGGCTGATTCTGCAGGACTAAATTTGACTCAGGTGTCCTGAGCCCCTGCAGCTGCACTTGTCCTCTTGGTGGGATGAGCGGCTGCAATACTCGTGGGACTGGAGCCCCGACAGCAGAGCTGAGCTGACTTAACTACATGTATTTACAAAGAACCCAGCAGAGCAGCTTAACTTTACGTATCTGTGCAGTGCCAAACAGATCAAAGACCTCAGAGCTTCAGGAAACTCATCTACTACATGGCAACAAAAATGTATCATGGCTGTTCATGTTAGGAAACAAACCCTAAACAAGCAGCCTGGCCTCCCATCTCGGCTTTCTGCATCATCTAGACACTCACAGAGCAAAAGCCGGAGGGGGAGAAGCAGTGGGAAAACGATAGTTAATATTGGTCCTTCATTTCTACAGTGTTAGAGGGCTTGGAGATTGCCAGGCACACTGACCACACCTTGAGGACAGCATCTATACAGCTCGCTCCTAAACCAGATGTGCTGGCAGCTGCAGAGGTGGGAGCAGGGCACGCGCTTCACCACCCAAGGCACAGGAGCGGGGGAAGCAGCGATTTGTATT